GGGGCGACCTTTAGCCCGTCGGGGCGACCTTCAGCCCATCCCTCAGCGGAGGGGGCGACCTTCAGCCCGTCGGGGCGACCTTCAGCCCATCCCTCAGCAGAGGGGGCGACCTTCAGCCCGTCAGGGCGACCTTCAGCCCATCCCTCAGCAGAGGGGGCGACCTTCAGCCCGTCGGGGCGACCTTCAGCCCATCCCTCAGCAGAGGGGGCGACCTTCAGCCCGTCGGGGCGACCTTCAGCCCATCCCATAGCAGAGGGGGCGACCTTCAGCCGTCGGGGGCGACCTTCAGCCCATCCCTCAGCAGAGGGGGCGACCTTCAGCCCGTCGGGGCGACCTTCAGCCCATCCCACAGCAGAGGGGGCGACCTTCAGCCCGTCGGGGGCGACCTTCAGCCCATCCCTCAGCAGAGGGGGCGACCTTCATCCCGTCGGGGCGACCTTCAGCCCATCCCACAGCAGAGGGGGGCAACCTTCATCCCGTCGGGGGCGACCTTCAGCCCATCCCACAGCAGAGGGGGCGACCTTCAGCCCGTCGGGTGACCTTCAGCCCATCCCTCAGCAGAGGGGGGCAACCTTCAGCCCGTCGGGGGCGACCTTCAGCCCATCCCTCAGCAGAGGGGGCGACCTTCATCCCGTCGGGGCGACCTTCAGCCCATCCCACAGCAGAGGGGGCAACCTTCATCCCGTCGGGGCGACCTTCAGCCCATCCCACAGCAGAGGGGGCGACCTTCAGCCCGTCGGGTGACCTTCAGCCCATCCCACAGCAGAGGGGGCGACCTTCAGCCCGTCGGGTGACCTTCAGCCCATCCCTCAGCAGAGGGGGGCAACCTTCAGCCCGTCGGGTGACCTTCAGCCCATCCCACAGCAGAGGGGGGCGACCTTCAGCCCATCCCACAGCAGGAATGGACATTTACATAAACCAGAGCGCAGTTTAGCCAACACTGGGCAAATACTGCATCTCAAGATGTTATCAGGTAAACACCGGACACAGGGCAAGAAACACAAGAAGCTTGTCCTCAGACGTGTCACTCAATGTTACACTACTTTACATCCATTTTAGACGTGAGACGTGAGAGAAATTTAGGCTTAAAATGTCTCTGCCTATGCTTGTTTTTAAATAGTACAAATTTTGTTACAGCGACTGGGCAAATATGAATACAATAAAACCATTGAGTGATTTTTGAACTAAATTGTGGTGTATGTCGTTACGTGTTTTAGATGTTAGAATTTTGTGTTCCTCAATTATTATATCCTTTGATCAAAATGTGATATTTATGTATGCTAACTTTTACATTTTTGGTGTTTCATAGATCATTTTGGGTTTGAATTGTGTATATTTCGCTGATATTAAGCTGTTTAATAAAAGGATTCTTTGTGACAAATTACATTACGTTCATAAAACTTTATCCTTTTCCTGAGCAATAATGTCATGGATTTTGCCAGTTGTTACTGTTCACAATGATCCATGAGGGAAGAAACTATAAATAGGGATTCATTCTACTGTATAAAAAATTCAGAAAAATCTTTTTCGCTGATTATTCTCCTGATAATTAAAATTATATATTTTTTCCTTCCGTACCATTAATATAACAAATCATTAATACATCTATTGCAATCATCATATTAAACGCTGTGCCGAATTGCAGAATATTCTACAAAAATGTAGGTCAATAAGATTTCTTTTTAGAAATGTATATTTTATTGAGCAAGTGTGCATTAAATCGACCAAAAGTGCCAGTAAAGACATTTATATGATTACAAAAATATATATTTCAAATAGATGCTGTTCTTTTGAATTTTCAATTAATCAAAGAATAAAAACAAACAAACAAACAAAACAAAAATATAAATCAAATAAATGTTTCTTGAGCATCAGATTATCATATTAGAGTGATTTCTGGAGGATCATGTGACACTGAGGACTGGAGTAAAGCTTTGCTCACAGGAATAAATTACATTTTAATATAGCTTATATTAAAATAGAAATTGTAATTATATTTACAGTAATTTGGTGAGCATGAGAGTCTTCAAACCTCAAACTTTTGAATGGTTGTGTAACTTTAAGGATTTGTGTGAACAAACTATCCTTCAAAAGTAAAACTGAGAGATTCACTGAAAGTGTGATACCAGCTCTCCTCCTTTTTTACATGTAATGGCTAAATGTGTAGCTTATATATTGGATTCAGATCAGTTTTATTACTGATTCGTTGTGTGTCGGCCTGGTTTGCATTTGCACCTCAAACACAGTTCATGTTGTGGCGCATGTAGTTCAGGTGTGCCATCGTTCAGTTCAGGTTCACAACCGTCTCGCGTCAAACAATTTAGCCCTTGTTTACTAGAGCACAACAAATCGGATCCTGAAGATTCTTAGGGATTAAACAGATTAGAGGGGGATAGCGTGTTTTTGTGGACAAAGGGTCTTGTGATTCGGGATATAGTGTTACCTGTCCCTCTAATTAAGAAGCTATCGAGAAGCTGGATGGAGAATTTCCATCAGTGGAAAAAAAAGAGCTCCTCCGAGGACCCATTAAAGTGAAACCGAGCATGATAACCCTGAACCGGGCCCTGTGACCTCCTGTAGCATCAAGACACTTCACTTTTACAGCAGCTCGTTCAAACACACACACACACACACACACACACACACACACACATGGAGCTGGCATTATCTAAATAGAACAGAGTTGAACTTGATAGCTTATTGTTAACTTGTTGGTGCATGTAAATTGGTTTTCTTTGCAAGTGTGTGTTTTGCAAAAACACCAACAACCCAGCTAACAAAGTTAGGTTCTGAGAACGTTTTTCTAACGTTCCATTTTGGTTGTGGGAACGTTAATTTAAAATGTTCTAAAAACGTGGAAATGTCCAGTTTGCTTAACGTTGCTGGAACGGTGTCTTAATGTTTGCAGAACGTTGCTGGAACGTTAGCATAATGTTGTTAGAACGTTATCCTAAGGTTAGCATAATGTTGCTGGAACGTTATGAGAACGCTTATCAAACACAAATAACGTGATAAAGACGTTCCGATAACGTTGTTCTAAGAACGTTTTTTATCAACGTAATGAGAACGTTCATCAAATACAAATAACGTGATAAAGACGTTCCAAGAACGTTGTTCTAAGAACGTTTTCTCTCAACGTTACAAGAACGTTGATAACGTTATATGAACGTTCCGAAAACATTATTTTAATAACGTTTTGTCCTAACATTTACACAACTTTTAAAGAACGTTAGTGAATGTTCTGGGAACGTTCCCTGTTAGCTGGGAAGAATACCAACTAATTATTTAATGTCAGGAAATAAGGGGCACAAAATCAAAATGTACGTTTATTATTATTATATATAGTTTTTTATTGTTTTTATACAAAGCATGTGTACCTTGTATTTGTTGTGTAAGTTCTCTGTTTATAACAATCAAAAGGTCATGGCTAAAGCTACAGAAAATAAAGCCTACTCGTATATTTCCAGAAGTAAATAAACGCAACACACTGATTGTTGTATTATCCAATGGCTTTAGGGGCCAGAAAAGGCAGCAATTACATATTATTTCAAATTTACTTTAAAATAAAATGGAAACATGACTTATGTTAAATAAAATAAGAAAATAAGTGGTCTGAGAGTGAACATATAGCACTTTGAACATGTTTCAGCCATTAGTGCTTTGTGTTTCTCATTTGTAAATGATGATTTGAAAGAAACGCAGCCATATTATGGAACATTTCATAAAGATAATGGGTAACACTTTAGAATACGGTTCCTTCGTTAATGAATAACTACACAAGAACCAATGAGTAACACAATATTAACAATCTAGTAACTATTATTAACTAACCAGAAACTCTGATTAACAAACTAGTAAGTAATAGCGCACAGACGAAAGTGGTAGTTCACTATTAAGTAATCAATAACTACTATTTTTTTAATACTTCCCAGAGAATTACTGAAAAAGTTTATTAATAATAACTAGTAACTACTAACTAAAAGAAACTCTTATTCACAAATTAGTAAGTAATAGCTCACAGATGAAAGTGTTACTACACTCTAAAAAATGCTGGGTTGTTTTAACCCAATTTTGGGTCAAATATGGACAAACCTGAAATGTTGGGTTAAAAATGTAATGTAAAAATTTAACCCAACAGCTGGGTTAGTCCATATTTGACCCAAAGTTGGGTTAAAACAACCCAGCATTTTTTAGAGTGTAGATACTTCTGTGGGAATTACTAATTATTTGGATTCGTATTATAAAGTGAAGATCATTGGAACGAACTAGTAATGACTCAAGTGTTACTACATGATCTAGTCATGATTTGTGCAAACGTTTGAGATTTTTGGTGAACTTTAGTATACTTTTAGAAAATGCCTTTAGTAACACTTGAGTAATTACTAGTTAGTTCCAATGATCTTCATTTTATAATACGAATCCAAATAGTTAAAAAACTAATTCGTTAATAAGAATTTCTTTTAGTTAATAGTAGTTACTAGATTGTTAATAAACTTTTTCAGTAGTTCTCTGGGAAGTATTAAAAAAAATAGTAGTTATTGATTAGTTAATAGTGAACTACCACTTTCGTCTGTGCGCTATTACTTACTAGTTTGTTAATCAGAGTTTCTGGTTAGTTAATAATAGTTACTAGATTGTTAATATTGTGTTACTCATTGGTTCTTGTGTAGTTATTCATTAACGAAGGAACCGTATTCTAAAGTGTTACCAGATTATGAACTAAATTCTGCGCAACATACATTGAACACATTAACAGTCAGACAGCCCATTGCATTACTCAATCAAAGGCACTGGAATAAGCACAAACAAGACAACTCTATTTTACACACATTTAACTCTCTGACGTGTGTGTCCAGTTAATTAGTTAGCTTCATGTAATGGTGCATCATTAGTTTAGCCATCGTTGTAGTAACTGTTTCTTTTCTCAGCTTAAAATCAAGAGTGATGAAGGCTGAAACACTAGTAGTTGTTATATTTTCATTTAAAAGTGACAAGTGCTGATTGTTAAGTGTAAGAGACAACGTTTAAAAGGAGGCGATGAACAAATATTTGGCAGTAATACTGATGTGTCCGTCTAATTGTCGCCTTATAAATGTTCAGCCTTTCGGTTAGAGAGAAATAGACTGTTTATTCACTCTGAAACTACTCCTTGTACCTTGTTTTCACTTTTTTATCTAATGTGACAGAACCAGAACACGGCTGTCTATCCATGCATACACACACACAAGCAGCCTGGACAGTTCATCTTTAACCCATGGTGTCCAATCCAGAGCAGAAAACAACACGCTCGTCCTCGTCACAGTCTCTCTAAACCTCTGGAGCTCTTCGTGAAGTGAAGATGTGGAGGTCCTCTGGGTCCCGTCTGGGTCTCCTGCTCCAGAGAGCGCTGAAGGTGTTGTTGGTGTGAGACAGGCGGTAGAGAAGCTCAGTGTTTAGGTCTCTATGTTACTGGCTGTGCACAAACACACACATCTGGATCCAGTCTGTGTCGCTACACCTCCTTCTCTCCAGAACTTGTGAAGGACGTTCGTCTCAGGTTCTCCTTAACTTTGATGAACTCTGGGGCGCTGTCCTCCACACTTGCTTGCTCCTTCTCCAGCTAAAGCACACACATATATCTGTCAGATATTTAGCACATTTTTGGTTGGTGTTTTGCAGCTAAATATTATATAGATATAGAAGAGGGTTTAGTATAGATCTCTGATATACAGGAAGCCGAATGAACTGATGTACCTCCTCCAGTTTCTGCTGTCTCTTGAGAAGCTCCTGTTCCAGTGGGGAGATCTTCCTCCGGGCCTCCTCCTCCCGCTTTCTCTGTTTTATCATCTGCTCTCGCTTCCTTTGCTCCAACACACGCTGCAGCTCGGGCTTGCTCTCCACACTGATTCCTCTGAGGAGTGGCGGAGAAAATAGAAACAAAAAGAGAGAGAACGGAACAGAAAAATTATTAATAGAACATAATAGAATATAGAGCACATTCGAAAAGAGAAAATAATACAGTAGAAATCAGAGGAAAGTAGATTAGATGAAGTAAAATAATTTTTGAAAGTAAATAATATTTTAAATAATAATAATAAATAAATTATATTTCAAAGTAAGTAAAAATTAAAATAGAATAGAAAACAACATGGTAGAATGTGAAAAACAAATATTAGAATACAACAACAGAGGAATAGAATAGAATGCATTAGAATGTGAAAACAAAGTTTAGAATACAACAAACAGAAGAAATAGTAGAATAGAATAGAATAGAAAAAATATACCACATTAGAATGTAAAAAAAAACAAAGATTAGAATACAACAAACAGAGGAATAGAATAGAATAGAATAGGAAAATATACCACATTAGAACATAAAAAACAAAGATTAGAATACAACAAACAGACGAAAGGAAAGGAGTAGAATAGAATAGAATAGAATAAAAAACAATAAACCACAGTAAAATGTAAAAAAACAAAGATTAGAATACAGCGAACAGAGCAAAAGAAAGGAAAGGAATGGAACGGAATAGAATAGAATAGAATAGACCACAGAAGAATGTAAAAAACAAAGATTAGAATGCAACAAACAGACGAAAGGAAAGAAATAGAATAGAATAGTATAGAACAGAAAGCAATATACCACAATAGAATGTAAAAAAACAAAGATTAGAATACAGCAAACAGAGCAATTGAAAGGAATAGAATAGAATAGAAAGCAATATACCATAGAATGTAAATAACAAAGATTAGAATACAACTAACAGAGCAATTGAAAGGAATAGAATAAAATAGAATAGAAAGCAATAGACCATAGAATGTAAATAGCAAAGATTAGAAAACAACAAACAGAGCAATAGAATAGAATAGAATAGAAAGCAATAGACAACAGTAGAATGTAAATAACAAAGATTAGAATACAACCAACAGAGCAAAGGAAAGGAATAGAATAGAAAGCAATAGAAAACAGCAACTAACAATAAGCATAAAATATCACAATAAAAATATAGCAAATATGCATGATCATAGAAGAGCAAACAGAATAAGATAGAACAGAGTAGAAACAGAATAGAAAAAGGTTGGGAAAAAATGAGAATGGAATAGAATAGAAAACATGTAATCCAGCAGGTGGCAGTATTGTCACGTGTTCGTGTCATTAATCAGAGAAGTGTGCTTTGTAAAACCTGTTTGCCAAAAAAACTTGCTTGCTTTTTTAATAAAAGGAAAGGTGTGAATGTACAAAAAAATGTATTATGCAAATCTGTGGCCTTTGAAAATATGTAGAGCTGTTTGACTGTATACAGCAGATGAAAACCCATTAGTTTCCTGCTGTTTTACACTTCATGCTGCCAGTGTTGTGAGTGACGCTCCATCTCAGTCACAGTCACGGCTAACACCACTCACAGCGAGCTCATCCTGACTGACCTGACCTCAGAACTGTGTGCTTGTTTGTGCAGCTTGGCTGAATACGATTCTTCCATCACTTCTGACCAATGCGGCCTAAGCTCTCACAAGCGTTTCTTCAAGGTGCCAAGCTGCTGTTAACACACATGATAGTTATTAACTGCAGTGCCAGGACAGACACACTCACACTCGCACGTGCAGACAGACCGATAATTAAATTACGTGTGAACTTGTTCTCTCCGCAGGGAGGTGGCGCCACGGGTGCTGAGAGGAGGATATGGAAGTGTGTGTGTGTGTGTGTGGAGTTCAGCAGATGTGGGAGTTCCAATTAGCATCCCAGTTCATTTAGATGGTGTCCTTCAAGCTGAAGAGACAGCAAGACAACAACAAATAAACACAAGGGACGTTTAATGAAGAGAACAAGAGAGACACCAGGCCCCCGGACGGCTCGCGCTGCTCTTTAACCCTGTCTCGGCTCTCGGCTGGGAATACTGACTCGCTCAACCTTTGCTCGGGTCGTTGGCATCGACCCGTTCCTGAAATGATCCATACATGGTGTCTTTTTTCCTATCAGTGACATACGAGCCAAATCTGTCTCTCCCCTTTTAGCGTCACTTCTCCTGACTGATTCCTTTCAGTGTTATCGGAAAGAGCTCTGCACATAAAAAGGCTTATCTAGAGAAGGCTTGAGAAAAGAGGCGCTGTTCGGTTTCCTCTGCCACCCTTGCGCTCACTGTGCCACCTTTGATGCCCACTGTTATCCCTTTCCATCCCCTTCTCTCTCTGTTTTCATCAGTGTTGTGCAAGTTACTTCCAAACTGTAATACATTAGGTATTACTTGTTACTGTTATTTAAAAGTAATTCATTACCTTACAATATTACTGTCCCAGAATTGTAATGCGTTACATTACTCATGTATTACTTTTGAGTTACTTTCACCAAAATAACTAAGTAGAACTTAACTTTTGGGCTGTAACGATATGCAATATGAAACCGAAATCGCGATTCGCCACACGACTCAGATCCACGAACCTACAGAATCGCGACACAGCGTTATTCTCCTTACCGTCCAGATCCAATGCTGCCTTATCCTTAAATTAGGCTATTAGTATTATTTGAAGTTAACATTATAAAATACGTAGACCTACACCACAAAACTAGTTGAGGATAAATTACTTAAAATTGGGGAAGTCCAGCATTATGGACATGACATTTGCAGTCAAAACTTGAAATAAAAATTCTCAGAAAATACATGTATTGAAACGTATATTGGCTACTTCCTTAAAGGACTCCAGACATTAGACAAATATCAGTCTATGTTTTATTTTTAATATTAGGGAAAAGACGCACATTCATGCGTGACAAAAAAAAATAGGAGGCAAAATATATTTTTTGTAATTCTGTTAATTACACTGCGCAAATCGGATGAGGAAGGGCTGGCTCTCCAGTCTCCAAAGAACTTAAAATATTCATTTTATTTTAGTTTTCGTGTTCGCATTTATGAGGAAAAAACAATGTTACAGACGCGACCGCTCTGAACTGGCACTAAACGACTGCTTTAAAACTTTCACATAGTCTGTTGCCTTTAAGAAGTAAAAGCAGACAATACACTGTAATACAACTGTAATACAAGCCTCACTGAACATGTAACGAGTAAAATATTACTGAAAATTGATTAGTAATGCCTTACACTACTGCGTTACAGCAAAAAGTAATATGTTACTGTAATGTATTACTTTTGTAATGCGTTACTCCCAACACTGTAAGAACGAGCCTATGATTGAATCTGGAAATAAATTAAATTAAATCAAACGGCATGATTTATGATTGCAAACCGCATCACAAGTCAGATTGTGGATTGATATCGAAAAGTCTGTCCAGCAGGTTGAATCACTGAGGCTATTTTCAATTAGCTTTTCAGGCTATCGTTTTAAAAATAGCTTCCGCAACACTTTAATAATTGGCGGAGCTAAAATTCTCCCGAAGGTGGCCCTCGGGACCAGGATTGACTTGTAGTACCAGTACTAATCCAGCTATCTCGTGTGCTAAGACTAATAGGAACCGATGGAGTTGCAGACAGCATGAATGGATGGCCGATTTATTGGAGGCTTTCATTACAGAGAAAAAGTCACTGTTTGTGTGGGTACATTCATTAGTGTGTGCACTCTCTTCCACAACCAAACACTTGAAGCCACAGAGGGCTTTCTGGCACAGTGCCGTGTCGGCCATTAAGCAAGTATTTCTTAGTTACTGTTGGCACTTTTGCCTCTTTGGTGCTGAGAGACCCTGCAGAAGACGGTCACTGTAGAGGACATGAAAACCAGTGTTGGGAGTAACGCATTACAAAAGTAATACATTACAGTAACATATTACTTTTTGCTGTAACGCAGTAGTGTAAGGCATTACTAATCAATTTTCAGTAATATTTTACTCGTTACATGTTCAGTGAGGCTTGTATTACAGTTGTATTACAGTGTATTGTCTGCTTTTACTTCTTAAAGGCAACAGACTATGTGAAAGTTTTAAAGCAGTCGTTTAGTGCCAGTTCAGAGCGGTCGCGTCTGTAACATTGTTTTTTCCTCATAAATGCGAACACGAAAACTAAAATAAAATGAATATTTTAAGTTCTTTGGAGACTGGAGAGCCAGCCCTTCCTCATCCGATTTGCGCAGTGTAATTAACAGAATTACAAAAAATATATTTTGCCTCCTATTTTTTTTTGTCACGCATGAATGTGCGTCTTTTCCCTAATATTAAAAATAAAACATAGACTGATATTTGTCTAATGTCTGGAGTCCTTTAAGGAAGTAGCCTATATACGTTTCAATACATGTATTTTCTGAGAATTTTTATTTCAAGTTTTGACTGCAAATGTCATGTCCATAATGCTGGACTTCCCCAATTTTAAGTAATTTATCCTCAACTAGTTTTGTGGTGTAGGTCTACGTATTTTATAATGTTAACTTCAAATAATACTAATAGCCTAATTTAAAGATAAGGCAGCATTGGATCTGGACGGTAAGGAGAATAACGCTGTGTCGCGATTCTGTAGGTTCGTGGATCTGAGTCGTGTGGCGAATCGCGATTTCGGTTTCATATTGCATATCGTTACAGCCCCAAAGTTAAGTTCTACTTAGTTATTTTGGTGAAAGTAACTCAAAAGTAATACATGAGTAATGTAACGCATTACAATTCTGGGACAGTAATATTGTAAGGTAATGAATTACTTTTAAATAACAGTAACAAGTAATACCTAATGTATTACAGTTTGGAAGTAACTTGCACAACACTGCTTATGTACTAGAGCAAAACTCTTCAAAAACAGTGCTTTAAATCTCTTGACAAACTAAAATACTTAAAAGACATTTGAATGTATTCATAAATAAAAGACACAGATTGTACTGAATTTCGAGCCCGATCTCATGAAAGTTCGTATTTATAGCACGGATGTCATTTCTCGTGGCATTTATACGCCAAAAACAGTTTTTGTGTGTATATGGTACGCG